GACTTCTGAACTTGAAGCAACAGTTGTCAGAGCTTGTTAACCTTTGATTAGAGGTGCACACTTTCCTGCAGCCTTCGTAGCAGTAAGGCCATTAATAACAGGCTTCACTATTAACAGGGAAAAATAGCTAATGACATGTGGAAAATCCAAACATTTTATTGTGGATGTCAATGACTTAAGTTCTCATTGGGTACAGCTGCTTAGAGGGGAGAAGAGGCCATCCAAATACTGGTGCCTTTCCAACTAACTCAGCGTTAATTTTTGACAACGCTGTAACACTGGGTTACTGCCTTTGCTTTCACTTGTGAAATTTTTAAATAAATACCTGACTGTGAGGTCTGATGTCCAAATGGAATGGCAAATCATTGTGTTTAATAAAAAAGGAATAGTAGGGCCTAAGAGTATGAAAATGCTTGATGTAATTTCAGTGAGAGGACAAAAAATAACTTAGCAAAGTCTTGTACTTGTGGCAGCTAAGCTGACTCGTTATACCATAATGGTGTAAACATATATACATATTGAAGGAAAAATATTTAGTGATTCTAAGTAACAGAAAATGCAAAAGCAAAGGCAAATAGATGAACATGTTTTCTGTGTTCCCTGTTTCTTCCTTGCAGTTGTACTGTAAGGTAAACCATGTTGTGTTTTCAGGATTTTGCCAAGGACTGCGGTATCTGCTATGCCTATCGACTTGATGGTGCTGCTCCAGATCAAGTGTGCGATGATCCCCGATGTGGGCAACCTTTTCATCAGGCTTGCCTGTATGAGGTAAAGTAATTAACGGGACAAACTTGCTCATTAATACTCTGTATTATTCTAGAAAATACGCTTTGCCCAGTTCAATTTCAGATGAAGCAAAGTCCTTAAAGGAGCGCCACACCAGTCAGTCGCTGTGCTCCCTCTTGTCTTCTAACCCCTGATTCATAAATAAGCTCCCTGTGGGAGGGAACCTGCCTCACTGTGGCTACGCAGACTCTGACTTGACACAGACCATGTCAGATGTTGATCAAATTAACTCTGTTTGGAAAAACCCCTGGTAACAGATTGTTCTTAAATCTGGTGTGAAACAAATGTGAATTTTATTCCACTTATTTGTGTTGCAGTGGCTACAAGCTCTTCCTTCTAGCAGACAGAGTTTTAATGTCATCTTTGGTGAATGTCCATATTGTAACAAGGTAAGGAAATCTAATGAAAATGAGTGATTGACCTAAATAGCGTGTGGTAACTTAGATAAAAGCAAAAACTGTAACAAAGTCTTTTTTAAAATAGAATTTGTGGCTACTATCTTCCCTTCACCCATTGGAATAAAGAGAGGAAAACTTTAACTTCCCATGCATTTAATCCATCAGTATTTAACTAAAAGTTTTCTGAAACTGTATAAAGACAGTTACACAGCAGTTATTATCAACATCCTAGTGTTAGAATAATTAAATATCATGCCCCATCACATTTCATGATACTTTTTAATGTTGCTGCAGCAAAGGGCCAGTAAAAAAAAAAAAAAGAAAAAGAAAAAAAAGAAAATAAGAATCTCAACATTCATAACACAAAACAGCCTTGTACAAATAGTTTAATGCATACATAACTACTGAGTGCAGATTTGAAAAGTGTAAGAGAACTTGCCTTTATAAGATATGTATTGACAGTCTCTTTTAAAAAAATTCTTTCCAAGCCACTGACAATGAAATCTTCAGCGAAGAAACTTTGAGAAAAAAAAAAAACACAGGCTGGGAACACTGCAGCACTTACCCTGAAGACACTGAAACAGTGACATCAAAGAAAATACAAGGAGAGTGATATTAGTAGCAGCAGTACGAGTATAGCTACGCTGTACGGGTATGTTTCGTCAGTAAATGCAAGCCTAAGTAGAACAGGTAGAGAACGACTGGTGACGTCAGAACCAGTTTCTTGCAGTGATACTGGATGAGCTGTAGTTAAGAGCTGATTGTGTTTCTTTTTGCATTCTGAGAATATTGCTTGGGGGTTGAAGGGTGGTAATGTTCTTGCAGTGTCCTTCTGCAGGAAGAAAAAATAAAAAGTAATAATAAATTTAATATTGAATAAGTGAGATGTAAATCAGAAAAAACAAAGATACCAAAGATGACATCGTATTTAAAGTTATCCTAGAGAAAGCAATACAATTCTCACAAAGTCTTAACTCTGGAATTTGCAGGTATATATTGTGTATTAAGTGTATAACATTAGGTACAATTAAACACCTAAAGAGACATACTCTGTATTTATTACTGGATTCAAGAGCTGAAGCTTTTCTATACTTTTAACTCATATCCAAAAAAGGTTAATATATTATGTTTTTAAAATGTTTCTGCTAATAAAGTTTTAGCCTGGAAACCTTAGACATAACTGCAGTTTGATTTGTATAAGTTTTTGCATTTCCTAGTAAAGCTAACGTTCTCCCGAGCTATCGTAGATAGCATCAATATACCAGTAGTGTGGTTTTTGTTCTAGTGGGATAGGATGGTGGTTGGGGTTTTTAATTTCAACCCTAGCAATATTGTTTTCTTGGTGAAAATTCATAACCTAGATTGTATTTCTGTAATAGAAATTTCCTGCCTTCCTCTTTTATTCTTCTTTCAAAGTGGTGAGACTTGTCTGTTTCTTTTCTTCTAATGAAATATGGGCCCCATCTGACAGAAAGATCCTGTTATGTCCAACATAAAGGCAGCTCGTAGGGTTTTTTTCTTCTCTGCTTTTTGTTGTTTCCATGTTATTTTCTAGACGTTACTTCTGTCTTCCTGGTTCTCCTTCCCAGGTTAGCAGCTGTCCCATGTCTCACAAGCATCCTACCCTTCTTGTCCTACTCCTCTGGGTCAGGTGTTCCCCTTTCAGGACAGAAATGTTTCTTGGTTTAATTTATACCTGAGATGTAACTGCTTTCCAGTAGCATCTAACTAAGCAGACCCACTTGTTCTTTCGTTGTCCCAGCTACGTGATGTTTTTCTGAATGTACTTCCCCAAAAAATGTACCAGGGAGAAAAATAACTTTCTCTCCGAGTTCTGGATTCAGATCTTTACCTGCATCATCTATTAATGGTGGCAACAGGGTGGCCATCCCATCTACGTGGGGTGCCTGCAGTTTCTGTTTGGAATTGCTCGTTGGAGAATGCCTGACAGCCCCTCACCACCCCAGCTCCTGCGGGAACTATTGTTTCTCTTCCCAATTTGTGCCTGAAGAAGAATCCTGAATTTTCATGACCTCGGTACTCTAAATTGTCCTATATGGCTTTCCTTTACCAGTCTCCTAAATTCTGTGAGAGGAAGTTTGCAAAATGAAGCTAAAACCATCCTGCCTTTTTTTTTTTTCCTTCTCCTGTTTCTCATGTGAATATCTGAAATGTTATCTGCCATCCATATTAACTTTTCCCTGTTGTGCATAATACTCAGCAAGTACCACAGAACTATTCTACATAGGAGCAGCATTATTAATCCTATTGGAACAGTGGCTTTTCCTTTAGAAAGACTAAATCAAAACACAAACATCATTTAAATACTAGACCAGTGACTGGTCCCATTTCTGTAAAAATGCACTTTTCCTTCCTCCCACAAAAAGGAAGGAAACACAAATCCCCAAGTTACTCTCCAGTGTCAAGATCTACAGTCCATACTGTGTGCTTGCTGTTCAGGTAAACAGGGAAAGTTGCACCTGCTCTTTTTTACCCTGTCATGTTGGAGACATAAACGTGTCTCTCTTTCCCCATCTACTTCTTTCTTAGGACTTGTGGTGGTTTGGGTGGATTCACCCTTTTGCTTGCAGCTTGCAGCCAAACACAGCCTGCTCTATCACCCTCCCGCCCCCCCTCACCCAGGGAGAGGAGAGAATTGGAAGGAAAAGGGCAAAGAAACTCACAGGTACTATTTACTCATTAAAATAAAATGATAATGATAACAACAGTGATAACAGAACATACAAATGAGTGATGCACAGTGCAACTGCTCACCACCCGCCAACCGATGCCCAACCCTGTGCTGGCCAGCGATCCCAGAGCAGAGACAGTCCTGAAACCCAAACCCCGGAACAGCAAGAGCCCGAGTGATCCCCAAGAGAAATACCCTCATCTTCCAGTCAGCCCTGGTTAACCCTGTGCTGGCCAGCGATCCCAGAGCAGAGACAGTCCTGAAACCCAAACCCCGGAACAGCAAGAGCCCGAGTGATCCCCAAGAGAAATACCCTCATCTTCCAGTCAGCCCTGGTTAAAATACTGACATGACATGATATGATCTGGAACATCTCATGGGCACATCCCAATGCCAGTTTGGGGTTTGCTATTCACTGCACTTCTCCCTCCCAGTCCTAATGCAGCTGTGAACCAGCCAAACACGGTGGCCTTGAGCTCCAGCAGCAACTAACAACACCAGTACTTTTATCAACATTCCTCTCATAACAAGTCTCACACTGACACTGAAACACAGCTCTTCTAACTACTGAGAATGAAATTAACTCTATCCTAGCAAAACCAGGACAGGACTAGAGTAGCTCTTACACAAAATAAAAGGACGGAGACCTGGGGGAGACATTTGCTACCTTTTTTTGCTAACTTCTTAAATTTTCCATTTGAGGACTAGGATGTAGCACTGGAATAGCTTTATATTACAAAATCGTATTTGTTACTTTAAGCTACGGTCGTGTCAGGACTCCAGAGACTTTTCAGAATCTGTTGACCTTGTTATCAGCCAAAACATTTCCAAAAATTGTTCTGCTCACCACTTTACTGCCTGGTGCTCTCAGGTATAGCTGTGCTTTTTCTGCTTCACTCTCCTAGCTTGTACTGGAGTCTCCAGACAGTGATCAGCAGACTGCTTGAACCAAAGAATTGTGGATTAATAATAAAGGTCTTTGAAGTTGTTATATTCGTGCTTATTAGAAATTGTCCTCATTTAACAAGTTATTTTTCTATATGAAAGAAACAAACAGCAGAGAATCTCTTTGTTAAAATACATTTCAAACTCCATAGAAAAGGAGCACGGTGTGATTACGAAGATGTACTTTCTTCTGTAGTATTTTTACTAATACCTTGAATAATTTTTTTAATCAATTGTTTCATGTACAGTTGAAGAGTAAGACTGAATACATTCATTCAGTCCTTTGAATGCAGTAAATTACCAATAATGTTTGAGGTGAGTTAGTTAAGTACTAAAATCCTCAGATTAAAAAGTCAAAATTTAAGAAGAGTGCTACAAAGTTCTCCATTATGTAGAAAAGGAAACTAAAGTAAAAATTTACTAAAGTAAATTTTGACCAAGAAAACAGGGTCCACAAAGGGAGACTGTAATTTCCCAACACTTTTATCTGCACAGTGGTGCAGCACTCAAAGTGCACTGCTTTACTACCAAACTACAGAGAAGTGGTAGTTTGCTAACAGTCTGACCAAGCAACTATACGCAAACTTTCAGTGTTTGTGGCAAACATCTAGTTTGCATACATTTAGTGTAGGCTTTGTTTGTGGTGGTGTGGGTTGGGGTTTTTTGGGTTTTTTTTGTTTTTTTTTTTAAACTCTCATTTTCAGATTGGACTAGATGATCTTTTGAGGTCCCTTCCAATCCCTACCATTCTGTGATTCTGTAAAAAGCTGATCTTTCTTTCGTAGGGTGCCATGACTGTTCTAAGGTAACTCCAAAAACCTCACCTTTTGTGGGTGGTCAGGCTCCTGAATTGCAGTGTAAAATGTAACTGGCTTCTCTTCAGGCTGGAGTTGCCGGCGTGTTACCCGAGTGTGGGGCCTGCTTAGGCAGTTAGATTCTTCGTCTTTCACCTTGTTCTGCTTCTGTTGCACTGCTTTCGGTGAAGGCTTTGGTAAGTGAACCTGTTGGTGTACAGAGAGTAATTCTGTATGCTGAAAAGAATTCAGCAACATTCAAAATTATCACAAGTACCATTCCAATACTTGGACCTGTCAGGTTTGAGACAGCACTTGTTACCTAGGCTGTACAAGAAACTCTTGAGTTTTACATTTGGAATAATACAAGCCAGTAAGCACATGCCAGCTCCTGGAGTTTGTGACATAGCTCCTGGCTTTTCTTCCTTGCCCACCCCAAGAGGTGGACATTGAGCTAACAGAGCAGACAAACTCCCAGGAGATACTATGCAGTGCATTACTGCCCTGCCCAAATCCTCACCTGCCGAGGCTCTGTTTGGTGAGGCATCCTGTTTAATTTACTTGGCTTTTCTTCCTCTTGGAGTTGTTTGCCTGTTACCCCAGTACAGGCTTTGTTTTGACAGAAGCGTTCTTCACCTTCCATCTTCTTTTGCTTCTGCTGAACTGGTTTTGGCATAGGCTTTGGTAAGCGAACCTGCTGATGTACAGTGAACAATTTTGTATAGTGAAAGAAAGTATTTCAAAAAGAAAAATTTCCACCTTCAGTGCTGAGAACACAGAATGACAGTAAGCTTTTATCTTTCTCAAAATAATTGTTTTCAGCATTTTAATTATCAATAACTGTCTTCTTCAAACAGTACCGGGTTAGAGCTATGCTCTATTTGGGAAGTATGCTGTAAAATAAACTTTGGTTATACATTTCAAAACCAAATCATTCACGAAGAACCTTTATTGGGGATGATGCCCATAAATCAGTTTGTTTCATTAACAAGACATCTCATATCACTGGACTGAGTCAAATGCAAAACACTCTAAGATAATCGCGAAGTCTTCCGACTCAGGTAATCTAATTTAAGAGTTAAGTCTTACATTCTTTTACAGTCTGCTAAAATATAAATGAGGAATACACAGTGAACAGTTGCTACTGGAGAGTGTCCAGAGGAGGCCACTAAATTTGTGAAGGGCTTACAAGGGAAGCTGTATGAGGAGAGGCTGAAGTCGCTTTGTTTGTTCAGCCTGGAGAAGAGGAGACTGAGAGGGGATCTCACTGCGGTCTAGAACTTCCTCCCAAGGGGAAGAGGAGGGGCAGATGCTGATCTCTCCTCTCTGGTGACCAACAACAGGACAGGGGAAATGTCAGGAAGATGTGTCAGGGGAGGTTTTGTGCCAGGGGAGGTTTAGGTTGGACATTAGGAAAAGGTTCTTCACCCAGAAGGTGGTGGAGCACTGAACAGGCTCCCCAGGGAGGTGCTCATGGCACCAAGCCTGACAGTATTCCAGAAGCATTTGGACAAGGCCCTCAGATACATGGGCTGAATCCTGCGACTGTCCTGTGCAGGGACAGGAGTTGGACTCGATGATCCTTGTGGCTCCCTTCCAACTCACAACATTCTATGATTCTATGAGTTAATGCAAGTTTTTTTTCCAGTGCTTCTCTAAGCACTAAGTATCAATTGATGTCTGTTTTTGGCTTTTGTAACTTGGAAGACAAACGTAGCCAAAACACAGGCTGTATGCCACATGCCTTTGGTACTTCTGGCACACTAATAACTCTGTAACTGCAATGTTTGCATATGGTCCTGTGTGCAGCAGCTGTATCTGAATATAGCAACTCAAAAAGAGATAGTGGGCTTCTTTTTTATACTGCACATTAAATACAGACAGGAGATAGAAACAGCACAAACTAAATCCCACTGAAAGTGCTCGTAGGCCCTTTCATATATTGTTTAATCCAAAACTCCTTTATGATTATAACCCATAGTTCTCCTCTGTGAAAATTACTGATGTTTAGAAATCTAAAGGCGTATCTGTTCTGAATAACAACTCAAGCTAATTTCAAACAGTTGACCCCAGGACATAACACTGTAGCCAGCCCTAAGAAATGGAGCCATGTAGGTGAGGCTCAGGGCCACACTGCGAGTTACCCAAACGCAGGGCCCACGTACACGGCAGGATGCATGAACTGGTAATCAGGACAGCTAACTCTGGTATCTTCACAATGTATACGTACCTCAAATGAGTGAAGGGCTTTCAAAACAGTATTTCTTTTATGCCTAAAAATCATTATATTCCATACTAATAAAAATTACAGGTTGGTATTGATGTGATTTTTTTTAATGTGAAGTCTATAAAATCTAGCAAGTAAGTAGTCAGCTGCCCTTACCAATCTCATTTGGCCCTAATACTAACACTTTCACTGCAAGTGAAAAAGCTGAAAATATTTACTCAGTGCCAAAAACTGTGGTAAAAAAATTTGAAAATTAACAAAATTAATATTTTGTCACCTGTTTGGTATGCAATTGAAACAAAGAACGAGGATGTAGCCACTGTTAACGCTTTTTATGTCATCTCAAGATTAGATTCATGTACAGCTGCATCTTAAATTTCCTGTTCTGTAGCAATCCCTCTTCAAGGAGCTAGTGTTACAGGGTCCGCTTATTGGTACTTAGAGGTGTTTACTGGTCTTCAGAAGGGAATTAACCCAAAATCACCTCTTTCCTGTGTACCAAACTGGTACAGGTGGAATCAGACAGGTCATCTGGAGTCAGATTCTGCTCATAAGCAAGAAGTGAGGAGACAGTGGATTGTTTGTAGTGGCTCCCACTATTCTTAGGTTGCCTCTTTAATGGGAGAAGTGTTTGGTGAATAAAAGGAGAGGTGGAAAGGGAATGCAGAGGGCCGAGATGAAAAGAGTCAGACCTAGGATAACTACAAGACAGTGCGGTGAAGAGATGCAGTGGGAAGTGCCTGCCTGTCACTGAACACCTCGTCAGGACTATCGCACCAAAGGGCACCAGGCCTTGAATATCCTCCACAGCCAATAACCACAGGCTGAAAAATCAGATTTTCTGAAAATAGCAATAAACTTGGAGAAAGTTCAGTTATCTTTTCTCTCTACTTGTACTTAAGTGCTCCCTAAGTCCTTTGCAGAACCCTAGAAATTTCCTTTCTGTAGCTGTTTTGCAGTGAATGTTTCAGGAAACTTGCACATGTAAGCCGCAGAACTGGCTGAAGAAACACAGTCGAGTAAGAAACAGGTGATCACTGGAGCAGTGCTAGCATTCTTCCTGTTCCAAGAAGCAAGACATTCAACATTAAAAAATTCCCTGAAAAAGTGATGACAGGTGCCATGATTTAGTAATACTCAGACACACTCTCTCTCTGATCTTGTTCTTGGCCATCAAAACCAATTCTGCTTAGTCCTACAGCGCACGGGTGGCGATAACTGACGCTCCTCATTCATGGATTTTTCAGTGGGGTTGTGAACTTGCAAATAGCAAGTGCTACAGCAGCTTTTACAGCCTGGAAGTTCAGGATCATCTTTTATGCTAGCATATTGCCAAGTCTTAGGGCAGGCAATAAGAAGAAAATAGATTTACTATTCAATATCTGACTCTAAGAAATCAAAGATGCTTGTGAACCAGAGATCAAACCAGATCAGCTGGAGATCAGTTAACAGCTACCTGATATTTCCATGAAGTTCAGAAAGTACAAACTTAAAGTACAAACTTTAAAAAAAAGCTTCTCAAATTAGTGAGGATGAAGTGGTCACCATCATAGCAAGAGAAATACTGTCACTGAAATAGCTTTTGGTTTTATTAAAAGGGAAAAAAAAAAAAGTGTTCAAAACAGAAAAGTCAATAAAATTGCTAAAATAAGTATCTGTAATTACCAAGATCAAAACCCAGTGCTTTTTTATTAAACATGAACTTTTGTTCTGCCTTCCATAACACGTAAATAGTGCTGACAATTGGTTTGTGAGGCACTTGCTACAATAAAATGTAATTGTATCATGAGAGAAAGGTGACAATCAGGAGATCATGAAAAAATTACATATTCTCACTGGTGGTTAATTAGCCATGCAAAACCCCCTCAAACAGATATTCTCTTCTATTAGGAATGATTACTATGCAGGCCTACAGATGTCAATACCACAGTCATTCAAATACTTCTTTCC